CGGCTCTGGGGCCTTGTACCCTCGTCGCAGGGCGGAGGTGGGGGGCGCGATGCCGGCGAGGTGCAGGGAGGTGAGAGTGAATATCTGGGACGAGAGGAGGCGCGGGGGACCGGGGTGCAAGGTGTGGCCCCCACAGGGGCTGCAAATGGGTGTCCTCACCTCCCCCCATCTTGGGGAGGAGCCGGGGCGTTGCGGGAGGATTGCCAGGGATCACCAAACAAAGCGTAGAAGGCAAAGCGGGGAGGGAGCTGGCGACTGAAACGGGGACGCACAGTGCGGGAGGCAGGAGGAGCGCAGAGAAAGTAAATGGAAAGGTAGAAAGGATGGTGGGAAAGGAGGAGGTGAAGAGGAATGGAGGAACTGAGTAACAGATGGAGCTGAAAACCTAAATCAAGCCCAGCGAAAGTGACTCGTCCTGATCCATGACCCTGGATTGCGAATTTGTTTGGCGAGTGGAGAGGGGAGGGGGCCACATGTCTTTGTGGCTCGCTTTCTCTGGTTTCGAACCGTGGGCTTTTAGGGAAGTGACAACACTCCATCCAGATTCTCCGAAAGTGTGAATAATAGTGTCATCATCATAATAAGCAATTAGCATGGTTAATATATTTCCTTTTACAAACTGCCTTATACCAAGAATTTTAATCTCTACAAAGCAAGCAAGCTTCAAAGAGTCTCAGAAACCACAACCCCATGGCTTTGCATTTCTGTGAAACATCTATATAATTTTATTTCTGAACACTACAGTTTTGTTAAACATCTTTTTGAGTGAACAATTCAAGAAATGAATACACAGTTTAAGTTGACCCTATGCTTTTATTGTAATCCTAACACACATTAACTAGTACTGGGGTTGCAGTATATCAGGTCTTCCATCTCATCTCCACAGGAGGAAAATAAACATGAAACATACCAGCATGTGCACTGAGGTTATAGTATGTCGACATGAAACCATGGAACATGGCATTTTGGGATACAATGTTTTGTGGCAAAATTATAGCCAGATTATAGTAAACATTAATATAATTACCATGAGCTCCATAATGCGAGTCTAAGAACTCTAGCATTGACAGTCTTTTTTTTTTTTTCCCCATATTCCTACCTAAAATTCTTAGTGGTAACAAAGGTGTGAAACAGGGATAAAAGGGAGTACATGGGCTAAGAGCAATGGCACAAGCAGTCTTTCCAATACCTGAAATATTTAATGACCAATTTGCAAAGTACATTAGATTTCACCTTGGGGTTAACAGGCAGGGAATGAATCTGGCAGCTCAATACTGTTGTCCCTCTGGTCTTTTTCTAGAGTCCAAAGGTAATTAAATCATAGAATTCTCCAACATTCAAAAATGAACGGAACGAAGCTTTTTGTTTATTACAAAGCAAGAGTGTTCTGTACTTAGTAGTAAACTCAAATGGTTTTAACTGAATTAAATTTGGTAATATGGATGACCTATGTATGGTTGAATATTTCAACAAAGCCATTTCTCAATTTCCCTTTCTGGAATGGACCACTGCTCTCTTTTTAAAAAATTTAAATCACTTACAGTGCTCATGCAATACAAATCTAAGTATGGTCCAGAATATTGACATGGAGCTAGAACTTCTCAAATTTTGCTAAACATAAAAATTATCAGGAGCTTGTTAAAAATATTTGACTCCCCACATCAGAAATTTTGATTTAGTGCGTCTGGGTAAGGCATTTTAAACAATCGCTTCAGTGATGCTGTTGTGGATGGTACCAGACCCCACCTTGAGAATTGCTTTAATGGTGCAACCAAACCTCGTCATGTCCCTCTATGTATTTTTGCTTTATAATCTATGCTATGACACGGCAATTTGACTCCTACCCAAGAGGGATGAGTGCACATACCCACCAAAAAACACAGGTATAAGAATACTTATTGCAGCTGTATGTGTAATAGCCAAAAATTGGAAAGAACTTAAATGCTATCAACAGGTGAATAGACAAATGAATTACGGCATATTCACACAATGGAATAGTCAACAGCAATAAAAATATGGATTACTGATACATGCAAACACCTGGATGAATCACATATGTTACATTGATGAAAAGCTAAGCATAGAACAATACATGATCTCATTCATATGAAGTTGAGAACAAGCACAACTGATGGCTATTTAAGAGAAGAGTGGCTATTTCTGGGGGAGGTACAGACTGGGAAAGGGTGCTAATGAAAAAGAAACGTTTTGCTCTTTGATTTCAGTGTATACATCGTGATATGAGTGTATCCATATGTGAAAAAACATCATGTACACTTATGATTAGCACACTTTACGTACTTCACTGTAGGTTTATTATTCCTTACTTTATAAGAAAGGCAGATGGACAAATTGGTCTGGCATGGTTTCCTTAATGGATTTTTGTTGTTCTTAATCCTCACCCAAGGATATTTTTCTATTGATTTTTTTAGAGAGAGTAGAAGGGAAAGGGAGAGAAGAGAGAAACACCGATGTGAGAAAGATTAGTTGCCTCCTGCACGCACCCCAACCAGGGCCAAGGAAACTGCAACAGAGGTACATGAACTTGACCGAAATCGAACCCAGGACTCTTCAGTCCACAGGCTGATGCTCTATCCACTGAGCCAACCATCTAGGGCTCCTTAATGGATTTGATGACAAAGAAAAAAACACATCACCACACAATCATATGCAATTAAATCAAAATTTATTCTGAGAACACGTAATCCTATATAATAAAAGCCTAATATGCTAAGTGTCCGGTCGTCAATTCAACCAACCAAAGTGTAATAGGCTAATGATAGGCTAAGGCCACTCAACCACTCGCTATGACGTGCACTGACCACCAGGGAGCAGACACTCCGACCGGTAGGTTAGCTTGCTGCTGGGGTCTGGCCAATTGGGACTGAGTGAGACAGGCCAGATCAGCTCTGGAGCCCTCCTGCATTCCCTCCCTGGCTGGCCAACATCCCGCGTCCCTCCCCGGCCCCAATCGTGCACCGGTGGGGTCCCTCGGCTTGGCCTGTGCCCTCTCACAATCCTGGTTGAGGGACCCCCTCTCCCAGAGTGCATGAATTTTGTGCACTGGGCCTCTAGTAATAATATAACAAAGTATAAAAAAAACCTCAAACATAAAACTCACAGGAAAAAAATCTAAAGTGCTATGTAGGAGTATATTATGGATCTGTCACTGGATTTAACTATATTTTGATGGCAAAAATAGTATAGAAGATAAAAAACTATGACACTTCAAAATATTATTTTTAATGATGTAGATAATTCATTATGCTTTTGACCCCAAAAAGGTAAAATCGAAATGAAAAACTTGTTGAAATGACTGCTGTAGATTATGCATCATTTTTATAAAGATTTTTGAGACTTGCCTAAGCAAGGGACAGTTTCTTTTACAAAATAAATTATTAAATGATATTTATTTTCTAAAAAATTTCTGCAGTGCACACCTTATTGGAAAGTGAGCACTTATTGCAATTGTGGTTTATGATGCCTAAAGGATCAATTTGCTGACACTACATTTGTACTATATTTTAAAGTGACTACTAAATCTTACTACTAAAACTGTAATAATTACATTTAAAAAATAAAAATTTCAGATTTTTGTGACACAGTGACACCCATCCAAAAATGTGTATTTGGTATATTTCTAATTGTCTCATTTTATTACTAACCTAGTTTTCTATGTAATTATCTTCTTTTTTCCCTAATTTCCCAGTATCTGTCTCATTCTTTTCTACATTTTCCATATACTCACTTTGTCCCAAGTTTTCTCGAGACCTACTTCCTGAAACCCCCATCCTACTTACTTGACACAATAGTCATCCTGGGATTTTTCCTTCATTGTATTCCTTTGTGAGATCTTATGTTTTCAGGATCCCATGCCTTCTTACTTAGATTACTCCTTTGTTTTGGGGAAGCACATCCTCCAGTAGCCTAAGAAAGGGTACATGGTAAGGTAAAATTTTGAGACCATGCAAGTCTTGACCTTTATTTTAGCCCCATACTGGAGAAATTGAAGCAAAGTCCCAGTTAGACTAAGAACTGGGACCTGGGGAACAGTGGTAGTGAGGTACTATCCTGAAAACAGGAAGAATTCTAGATCAGAATTTTTAAATTTGAAGGCCTTACTTTCATAGTCTTCTAACATCCAGTGTTGCTACCAAAAAGTCTAAATGCCATTCTTAAAACACCATTTTCTGTAAACCTTGTTTTCTCCCTTGGGAAAGCTTTAGGATCTTTAACCCTGGGATCCTAAAATATCATGATGTGCTTTTGGATTTTTTAATTCATTGTGATGGGCACTCAGTAGATTCTGTTAGTTTAGGAGACTCATGTCCTGTTTTTGGGAAATCTTCTTTTTGTTCTCTATTCACCTTTCTCTGTTCTTTCATTTTGAGGCTCTTATCAGATGTTGCATCCCATTCTGATCTTATTTTCCTATTTTTCATCTCTGCCTTTTTATTCTTTCAGAAATTTCTTCAGCTTATCTTCCAACACAT